CATTCCAGCTCCTGCTATCCCGGGATGCTCCATGGATCTTCCAGCCCCACATTCTCTGGGAATTCCATCCCAATATTCCATGGGAATCCGATGTTCCCTGTTTCCCATCCCTCCATCCCTGCATCCCGAACCCCTCTGCAGCTCTCCTGGAATATGGAAGGGATTTTTGGGAATTCTGGCAGCTGGGGGAGCCTCACCTTCCTGGCACAGCGGGATTTAGGAACACCCGGATCCGTATCCCACCTCTGGCACCCCCAGAGCCGTCCAGAGGGGGATTTTGGGGAATATTCCCCTGGAATTCTGGGCTGGAATTGCCATTCCCAGCTGGAATTCTCATCCCTGAGGATGTGGGATGGGGACATGGCTGGGATGGAATCCCCATTCCCAGGGATTTCCCAGCCCCAGGGATTCCCTGATTCCCAGCCCCAGGGATTTCCCAGCCCCAGGAATTCCCTGATTCCCAGCCCCAGGAATTCCCTCATTCCCATCCCCAGGAATTCCCTCATTCCCATCCCCAGGGATTTTCCAGCCCCAGGAATTCCCTCATTCCCATTCCCAGGAATTCCCTGATTCCCATCCCCAAGGATTTTCCAGCCCCAGGAATTCCTTGATTCCCATCCCCAGGGATTTCCCAGCCCCAGGAATTCCCTGATTCCCAGCCCCAGGAATTCCCTCATTCCCATCCCCAGGGATTTTCCAGCCCCAGGAATTCCTGGATCTGGTGGCCCCGGGCAGCTCCATGGGACATTCCCGAGGCTCATTCCCGCTGGATCTGCCCCGGGATCTGGGAATGAGGCAGAATCCCCTCCCAGGAGCCTCCAGGCTGGCCAAAAATTCCCAGTTCGGATCTTCCTTTCCCAGTTTGGGTCTCCCGGGCCCGCAGGGAAATCGGGAGCAGCTCCCGGCCCGGGGATGGCCGCGGATCCCAAAATTCCTGCGTGGCTGCTGCTGCTGCTGCAGCGGAGCCATCGCGGGCGCGGGGCCCGAATTCCTGAATTCCTGAATTCCAGGAGCCGCGGCTGGCAGCGGGAACAGCGGCTCCCGGCTCGGGGCCAATCCCGCGGGAGCCAAGGCCGCGACGTGCGGATCCGGGAGCCTGCGCTGATTTCATGGAGCAAAAATGTCCCGGAAAATCCCGGGCCAGGCCCCGGCCGGCGGGGGCAGGGACGGAGCCGGGAATGAGCCGGGGAACGAGCCGGGAATGGGATGGGAACGAGCCGGGAATGAGCTGGGATATGATCCCGGGGTGGGATGGGGGAGCGGGGAAGGGACAGGAGCCCCTCGGGATCTGTGGGATCAGGGAATGCTGCAATTCCCATGGAATTCCCGGCTGGATCCGGAGCCTTTTCCCCGCTCCGGCTGAGCCCAGGGCTGGGAAAGGCTGGGAACAGCATTGAGGTGGGATTTTTGGGAATATTCCCCTGGGAAAGGCTGGAATTCTGGGTTGGAATCCTCATTCCCAGCTGAAATTCTGGGCTGGAACCCCCATTCCCAGCTGGAATTCTGGGTTGGAATCCCCATTGCCAGCTGGAATTCCAGGTTGGGATCCCCATTCCCAGCTGGAATTCCGGACTGAGATCCCCATTCCCAGCTGGAATTCTGGGGTTGGAATCCCCATTCCCAGCTGGAATTCTGGGCTGGAACCTCCATTCCCAGCTGGAATTCTGGGTTGGAATCCCCATTCCCAGCTGGAATTCCGGGTTGGGATCCCCATTCCCAGCTGGAATTCCAGACTGGGATCCCCATTCCCAGCTGGAATTCCCATCCCTGTGGATGCAGGATGGGGACACGGCTGGGGATGGATTTGGGAGACTCCAGAGGCTTTTCCAGGCTCTGCAATTCCCTGGTTTTCTTCCCATGGACCCGACAACCTTTTCTTGGGAATTCTCCTCCCTCTCCAGCCATTCCCACATTCCCAGCCCCCCTCTGTGCCGGCGCCTTTGGATAATCCAGGGGAATCACTCGGGATCAGGGAATCCCATGGGAATCACTCGAGGTTGGAGGCTCAGGGAATCCCATGGGAATCCTGGTCCTGGGGCCTGTCCTGGTTTTCTCCTGGATCTGAGTCTTATCCCAGTTCTGTTCCTGATCCCAGTCCAATCCCAGTCCTGTTCCCAATCCCATCCCAGTCCTGTTCCCAATCCCATCCCGGTTCTGATCCCAATCCCAGCTCTGTTCCCAATCCCATCCCGGTTCTGATCCCAATCCCATCCCAGTTCTGATCCCGATGCCATCCCAGTCCTGTTCCCAATCCCATCCCGGTTCTGATCCCATCCCAGTTCTGATCCCAATCCCAGTTCTGATCCCAATCCCATCCCAGTTCTGATCTTGTTCCCAATCCCATCCCAGTTCAGTTCCCAGTCCCATCCCAGTTCTGTTCCCAATCCCAGATCCCATCCCAGTTTTCCTCCCCTTCCTGGTGCCCCACATTCCAGGCCTTTCCCTTGGCACACGGATTTGGGAACATCCTGGATTTGGGAACGTCCCAGATTTGGGAACATCCCGGATTTGGGAACATCCCGGATTTGGGAACATCCCGTTGTCCTGGGATCCCTCAGGGGGAGCTTTGGGAAGTGCTGGGGTTCATTTCCCCAGGATTTCCCAAATTCCCAGTTTTTACCTGCTGCTTCTGGCACTGGGAATGCTGGTGGTGACTGGGAATAACCTGTGGGGAAAGGGGAAGGAAAAGGGAGAAAAGGGAAGGAAAGGGAAAGGGAAAGGGAGGGAAGGGAAGGGAAGGGAAGGGAAGGGAAGGGAAGGGAAGGGAAGGGAAGGGAAGGAAAGGAAAGGAAAGGAAAGGAAAGGAAAGGAAAGGAAAGGAAAGGAAAGGAAAGGAAAGGAAAGGAAAGGAAAGGAAAAGAAAGGAAAGGAAAGGAAAGGAAAGGAAAGGAAAAGGAAAGGAAAGGAAAGGAAAGGAAAATGGGAAAGGGAGTAGGGGAGAAGGAATGGAGAACGGAATGGGAAAGGGGAAAGGGAAAATAGGGAAAGGGAAGATGGGGGAAAAGGGAAAGGGAAGAGGAGAAAGGAAAATGGGGAAGGGAAAATGGGAAAAAGGTAAAAGGAAAAGGAAAAAAGGAGAAGGGAACAAGGGAAAAGGGGAAGGAAAAGGGAAATGGAGAAAGGGGAAGGTAAAGGGAAAATGGGGAAAGGGAAAGGAAAAATGGGAAAAGGGGACAGGGACAGGGGAAGGGAGAAGAGGAAAGGGAAAGGGGAAAGGAGAAGAAAAAGTGAAAAGGAAAGAAGAAAAATGGGGAGAGGGAAAAGGGAATGGGGAAAGGGAAAATGGGAAAAGGGGCCAGGGACAGGGGAAGGGATAAGAGAGACGGGAAAGGGGAAAGGGAAAAGGAAGGAATTCCCTCAAGGATCATGACCCAGATTCCCGATTAATGACACAAAATCCGGATTTAATTAATTCCCACATCAACAACATGAAATTCCAGCATGTGATTGATAATTCCCAAAAAATGCAGCCCCTGCACCCCGCGCTCAGGGATCCGTGCCGGGATCCATTCCAGGATCAGTTCTGGGATCAGTTCAGGGATTTGTAATTCCAGGATCAGTTCTGGGATCAGTTCAGGGATTAATTCCAGGATCAGTTCAGGGATCAGTGCCGGGATCAGTTCAGGATTGGTTCTAAAATCAGTTCCAGGATTAATTCCAGGATCAGTTCAGGGATCGATTCCAGGATCGGTTCCGGGATCAAGTGGCTCCAAGCAGGAAGTGGATCTGGGAAATGGCTCTGGAAAAGCCAAAATGTCCGTGAGGATCCACGGATCCCAGGGCAGGGATTCCCAAGGATTCCCGGAGTGGATCCCAGAGATCCAGGTGTTCCATGAGCAGAGATTCCAGGGCAGGGATTCCTGGAGTGGATCCAGGAGATCTCAGTGTTCCACGTGCAGGAATCCTGGGGCAGGGATTCCCAGAGTGGATCCAAGTGATCCAAGTGTTCCATGTGCAGGAATCCCAGGGCAGGAATTCCCAGAGGATTCTTGGAATGGATCTGAGAGACCTCAGTGTTCCATGAGGGACAGGGATTCCCAAGTGGATCCAGGAGATCCAAGTGCTCTGTGATCAGGATCCCAGGGCAGGAATTTCAAGGATTCCCAGAGTGGATCCCAGAGATATCCAAGTGTTCAACGCTCCAGAATCCCAAGACAGGAATTCCCAAGAATTCCTGGAGCAGATCCGAGTGATCCAAGTGTTCCGTGATCCAGAATCCCAGGGCAGGAATTCCCAAGGATTCCCAGAGATCCAAGTGTTCCGTGATCCAGAATCCCAGGGTAGGAATTCCTGAGAATTTCTGGAGCGGATCCAAGTGTTCCATGATCCGGAATCCCAGAGCAGGAATTCCCAAGGATTCCCAGAGATCCAAGTGTTCCATGATCCAGAATCCCAGGGCAGGAATTCCCAAGGATTCCCAGAGATCCAAGTGTTCCATGATCCGGAATCCCAGAGCAGGAATTCCCAAGGATTCCCAGAGTGGACCCAAGTGTTCCGTGATCCAGAATCCCAGGGCAGGAATTCCCAAGGATTCCCAGAGATCCAAGTGTTCCGTGATCCAGAATCCCAGGGCAGGAATTCCCAAGGATTCCCAGAGTGGGTCCCAGAGGTCCAAGTGTTCCATGATCCGGAATCCCAGGTCAGGAATTCCCAAGGATTCCCAGAGTTCCAAGTGTTCCATGATCCAGAATCCCGGGGCAGGAATTCCCAGAGCGGATCCAAGTGTTCCATGATCTGGAATCCCAGGGCAGGAATTCCCGAGGATTCCCGGAGCGGCCCCGCATTCCCGGGATCTCCCGGAATTCCGGCACCTCCTCTGTGTCCCGTGGGATCCTCTGGAACGTCGGTGCCGCTCTTCCCGCGGGATCCGGCAGGGAAAACGTCCTTGGATCCGGGAATCCTCCAGCGTGGCTTCCCCTGCTCCGGCTGGGATTCCCGGCTGGAATTCCCGGCTGGGGTTCCCGGCTGGAATTCCCGGCTGGGGTTCCCGGCTGGAATTCCCCGGCCTAGCTCCGGAGCTGTCCCGTCTTCCTGTCCCGGTCTTTGCTCTGTGGGAGGGAAAGGAGACGGGATCAAACCTGGAATTGGGAATTCTGCTGGAATCCTCCCGGGATCCCTTCCCATGGAATCCACCCAGGATCCCCTTCCCAGCGGAATTCCCTTCACAGGAATCCTCTGGGATCCCTTCCCTGGGAATTCTCCTGGATCCCTTTCCCAGGAATCCTCCCAGGATCTCTTCCCAGGGATCCTTTCCCAGGGAATCCTCTTGGAATCCCTTCCCGGGAATTCTCCCGGGAAATCCCTTCCCAGAGAATTCTGGAACCCCCTCCAGGGAATCCTCCCAGGATTCCTTCCCTGGGAATTTTCCTGAGATCCCTTCCCAAGGATTCCTCCCAGGATCCACCAGAGCTGTTCCCAGTCCCTGCCTCAACCCCCAGTGCCACCAGTACCACTCCCAGTATAACCAGTATAGCCCCAGTATCACCAGTGTGACCCCAGTGCTACCAATATAATCCCAGTATAACCCCCAGTGTAACCAGTTCAACTCCCAGTGCCCCCAGTATAACCAGTATAGCCCTTAGTGCCACCAGTGTAACCCCAGTGCCACCAGTATAACCCCCCAGTATAACCAGTATAGCCCTTAGTGCCACCAGTGTAACCCCAGTGCCACCAGTATAACCCCCCAGTATAACCAGTATAGCCCTTAGTGCCACCAGTGTAACCCCAGTGCCACCAGTATAACCCCCCAGTGTAACCAGTTCAACTCCCAGTGCCCCCAGTATAACCAGTATAGCCCTTAGTGCCACCAGTGTAACCCCAGTGCCACCAGTATAACCCCCCAGTATAACCAGTTCAACTCCCAGTGCCCCCAGTATAACCAGTATAGCCCTTAGTGCCACCAGTATAACCCCCCAGTGTAACCAGTTCAACTCCCAGTGCCCCCAGTATAACCAGTATAGCCCTTAGTGCCACCAGTATAACCCCAGTGCCACCAGTATAACCCCCCAGTGTAACCAGTATAATCCCAGTATAACCACTATAACCCCCGCTATAATCAGTACCCACCCCAGTGCCACCAGTATAGCCCCCAGTATAACCAGTGTAACCCCAGTGCCACCAGTACAACCAGTATAACCCCAGTATAACCAGTATAACCCCCCTGAATAACCAGTATAACCCCAGAATAACCAGTATAACCCCAGTGCCACCAGTATAACCCCAGTATAACCAGTATAGCCCCTAGTATAACCAGTATAACCCCAGTACAACCAGTATAACCCCAGTATAACCAGTATAACCCCCCCTGAATAACCAGTATAACCCCAGTGCCACCAGTGTAACCCCAGTATAACCCCAGTATAACCAGTATAACCCCAGTACAACCAGTATAACCCCAGTATAACCAGTATAACCCCAGTGCCACCAGTACAACCAGTATAACCCCAGTATAACCAGTATTACCCCAGTGCCACCAGTATAGCCCCCAGTATAGCCAGTGTAACTCCAGTACAACCAGTATAACCAGTATAACCCCCCTGAATAACCAGTATAACCCCAGTGCCACCAGTGTAACCCCAGTATAACCCCAGTATAACCAGTATAGCCTCCAGTATAACCCCAGTATAACTAATATAGCTCCCAGTATAACCCCAGTATAACCAGTATAGCCCCCAGTATAACCCCAGTATAACCAGTATGGCCCCCAGTATAACCCCAGTATAACCAGTATGGCCCCCAGTATAACCCCCAGTATAACCAGTATGGCCTCCAGTATAACCCCAGTATAACCAGTATAGCCCCCAGTATAACCCCAGTATAACCAGTATAGCCCTAGTGCTGCCAGTATAACCAGTATGGCCTCCAGTATAACCCCCAGTATAACCAGTATAGCCCCCAGTATAACCCCAGTATAACCAGTATGGCCTCCAGTATAACCCCAGTATAACCAGTATAGCCCTAGTGCTGCCAGTATAACCAGTATGGCCCCCAGTATAACCCCAGTATAACCAGTATAGCCCCCAGTATAACCCCAGTATAACCAGTATGGCCCCCAGTATAACCCCAGTATAACCAGTATAGCCCCCAGTATAACCCCCAGTATAACCAGTATAGCCCCCAGTATAACTCCAGTATAACCAGTATAGCCCCCAGTATAACCCCCAGTATAACCAGTATAGCCCCCAGTATAACCCCAGTATAACCAGTATAGCCCCCAGTATAACTCCAGTATAACCAGTATAGCCCCCAGTATAACCCCAGTATAACCAGTATAGCCCCCAGTATAACCCCGGTATAACCAGTATAGCCCTAGTGCTGCCAGTATAACCAGTATGGCCTCCAGTATAACTCCAGTATAACCAGTATAGCCCCCAGTATAACCCCAGTATAACCAGTATGGCCTCCAGTATAACCCCAGTATAACCAGTATAGCCCCCAGTATAACCCCAGTATAACCAGTATAGCCCTAGTGCTGCCAGTATAACCAGTATGGCCTCCAGTATAACCCCCAGTATAACCAGTATAGCCCCCAGTATAACCCCAGTATAACCAGTATAGCCCCCAGTATAACCCCAGTATAACCAGTATGGCCCCCAGTATAACCCCCAGTATAACCAGTATAGCCCTAGTGCTGCCAGTATAACCAGTATGGCCTCCAGTATAACTCCAGTATAACCAGTATAGCCCCCAGTATAACCCCAGTATAACCAGTATGGCCTCCAGTATAACCCCAGTATAACCAGTATGGCCCCCAGTATAACCCCCAGTATAACCAGTATAGCCCCCAGTATAACCCCAGTATAACCAGTATGGCCTCCAGTATAACCCCCAGTATAACCAGTATAGCCCTAGTGCTGCCAGTATAACCAGTATGGCCTCCAGTATAACCCCCAGTATAACCAGTATAGCCCCCAGTATAACCCCAGTATAACCAGTATAGCCCCCAGTATAACCAGTACCACTCCAGTGCCACCATCTCTGCCACCTGTCACCACCAGTTACCCCCCTGTCACTCCCAGTATAACCAGTGCCATTCCCAGTACCATCCCAGTATGAGCAGTACCCACTCCAGTATAACCAGTATCCCCCTGCTTCCCCTCCCTGTTTTTCCAGGATTCTCCCAGTTCCCGTTTTCCATCCCCATCCCAGCCTCCCTTCTGCCCATTCCCATTTTTTGGGATCCAATTCCCATTTCCCATCCCCAGTTTTTGGGATCCAATTCCCATTTCCCATTCCCAGTTTTTGGGATCCAATTCCCATTTTCCATCCCCAGTTTTTGGGATCCAATTCCCATTTCCCATTCCCAGTTTTTGGGATCCAATTCCCATTTTCCATCCCCAGTTTTTGGGATCCAATTCCCATTTCCCATTCCCAGTTTTTGGGATCCAATTCCCATTTTCCATCCCCATTTTTTGGCATCCAATTCCCGTTTTCCATCCTCGGTTTTTTGGGATCCAATTCCCATTTTCCATCCCCATCCCATCCTCTCCTGTTTCCCATTCCCAGTTTTTGGGATCCAGTTCCCATTTTCCATCCCCATCTCATCCTCCCCCATTTTCCATTCCCACTTTTTGGGATCCAATTTCCACTCCCTACCCCATCCCAGATCTCGTCCTTTTCCCTATCCCATTTTTCAGGATCCAATTTCCATTTCCCATCCCTACTTTTTGGGATCCCATTCCCGTTCTCCATCCCCAGTTTTTGGGATCCCATTCCCGTTTTCCATCCCCATTTTTCAGGATCCCATTCCCATTTTCCATCCCCATTTTTTAGGATGCAATTCCCGTTTTCCATCCCAGTTTTTGGGATCCAATTCCCCTTTTCCCCAACCCCACTTTTTGGGATCCAATTCCCATTTTCCATCCCCATTTTTCAGGATCCCATTCCTGTTTTCCATCCCCATCCCATCCTCCCCGCCCGTTTTTCGGGATCCAATGATTCGATTCCCGTTTTCCATCCCCATTTTTTAGGATCCCATTCCCGTTTTCCATCCCTGTTTTAGGGATCCGACTCCCGTTTCCCCTCCCCGTTTTTCAGGATCCCATTCCCGTTCTCCATCCCTAGTTTTTGGGATCCCATTCCCGTTTTCCATCCCCATTTTCTGAGATCCCATTCCCATTTTCCATCCCCATTTTTTAGGATCCAATTCCCGTTTTCCATCCCAGTTTTTGGGATCCAACTCCTGTTCCCCTCCCCTTTTTTCGCAATCCCATTCCCGTTCTCCATCCCCGTTTTTTGGGATCCCATTTCCGTTTTCCATCCCTATCCCATCCTCCCCCATTTTCCATTCCCAGTTTTTTGGATCCAATTCCTGCTCCCTGCCCCATCCCAAACCTTTCCCCATTTTCCATTCCCAGTTTCTGGTATCCAATTCCCATTTTCCATCCCCGTTTTTTCGGGATCGAATTCCTATTTTCAGTCCCTATCCCATCCTCTCCCGTTTCCCATCCCAAATTTTTGGGATCCAATTCCCATTTTCCATCCCATTTTTTGGGATCCAGTTCCCATTTTCCATCCCAGTTTTTGGGATCCATTTCCCATTCCCTGCCCTATCCCAGACCTCCCCCTTTTCCCCATCCCAGTTTTTTGGGATTCCTGCTTCCCATCCCCAGTTTTTCAGGATCCAATTCCCATTTTCCATCCCCAGTTTTTTGGGATCCAATTCCCGTTTTCCATCCCATATTTTGGGATCCAATTCCTGTTTCCCATCCCCATCCCAAACCTTCCCCTTTTCCCTATCCCATTTTTTGGGATCCCATTCCAGTTTTCCATCCCCATCCCATCCTCCCCACAGTTCTCCATCCCTGTTTTAGGGATCCCATTCCCGTTTTCCATCCCCATTTTTTAGGATCCAATTCCCGTTTTCCATCCCTGTTTTAGGGATCCGACTCCCGTTTTCCATCCCCATTTTTCGGGATCCCATTCCCATTTTCCATCCCCATCTCATCCTCTCCCTTTTCCCCATTCCCATTTTTCGGGATCCAATTCCCATTTTCCATCCCCATTTTTCGGGATCCCATTCCCATTTTCCATCCCCATTTTTCGGGAT